CCCCCGCAGCCCCCGCCAACGTAAGTCTGCAGCTCGCTGGGGACGGGGACATCCTCACGCCTCAGCCCCGGCTGTGCTGGGAACGGGGACATCCTCACGCCTCAGCCCCGGCTGTGCTGGGGACGGAGGGGGCCGGGCTCACCAGGGCTCACCGGCGGGGAAAACATCCGTGGGAGGGATGTGCTGGTTCCCCTGGATCCCTCCCTGCCTGTGGTCCAGTGACCGTAGTCTTCCTCAGAGCTGGACGCTTTGTCTGAGGCAGAACTGTAACAGGTTGATGTTGCAAAAGTTTGTTTTCTTTCCTGCTTCATCTTCCCTCGCTGGGTTTTGCCTTTAGATGTCATGGCTGCATCCCAGCCCCTGACAGAGCCGATGAGCGGATAACAGCCTTTGGAAGGGAGGACGGAGTTACCCAGGGGTACCCAGAGGGGCGAGTGGATGTAACCTGCTGAGGCACTGCTTCCCCAGAGCTACGTCTCCCTGGGGCAATCTATGTTACTGCAGGCACCCCGCTAAACACCAAAATGCACCAGCACGCAGCCCGGCTGGCAGTGGGAGATTTCTGTCCTGGGCCACCACCCATCCCCAGCCCCTTCCCGGCCCGTTAAAACACACAAAGCGCTATGATTTTGCGGATTGCTCATGCCATGTCCCCAAGAGCAGCTGCTCCTCCCGGCCAACCCCTATTCGGGGGGTATGCTGACGACCTTCCTGGCTCCTCATCCTTGTCCAAGCCATGGGGGCCGCTCCGGGCGAGGGGGGGCTCACCAGGGAGCTACTTCTGCGTTGCCCAGCCGCGCTGCTCAGGCGTTAAAGCTGGCTGTCAAAATCAAATCATTTTTTGAAGAGCAAACAGAGGCATCTCAGCGTGGGAAAGGTCTGCCCCAGCAATACCAGTTTTGCGGGTTGGGCTGAGTCACTCCTGGTTGATCTTGTGCAAACACGCCCCATGCTGCACCCAGGCGGGAGCGCATTCCCAGGCGGCTGCCGCGGCGGTCAGGTCGTGCCCCATGGTCTCCTACCTCTGCCAGCAGCTTAAGGCTGTCCCAGGAGACTCACAGGCAAGATGTAGGGCTGAGACATCCCCTTTCTGCTGCTTCCATGTACTGGAGGGGAAAGGGAACTGCATGACTACATGCCTTTGGAGGGGGGGGGTGTCCTATAAAGTCTCCAGAATACCACCTTTCCCCTAAAAAACCAGCTGGATCCTTAATGGGGGGAGGATGTAGGAGAAAAGGGATGTCTTCCTTCACTAATGCCTTAATTAAGGGCATATGAAGGAAAAGCAGAGTGTTAATCATCTGGCCTGCAAAGGGGCCAGGACTTTGCAGAGGCCCCGGATAGGAAGAGCAGGACAGGAGGCACTTAGGGGTGTTAGTGAGAGCAATCAACCTTCTCCTTAAGAGCAAAGAAGTTAAGCTCCAGTGCCTAAAGGGGCTCCAGGAAAGCTGGGGAAGGACTTTTTCCAAGGGCATGAAGTGATAGGATGAGGGGGAATGGCTTCAAACTGGAAGAGGGGAGATTTAGATGAGATATCAGGAAGAAATGTTTCCCTGTGAGGGTGGTGAGCCCCTGGGGCAGGTTGCCCCGAGAAGCTGTGGCTGCCCCATCCCTGGAGGTGTTCAAGGCCAGGTTGGATGGGGCTTGGAGCAACCTGGGCTGGGGGGAGGTGTCCCTGCCCAGGGCAGGGGGTGGGACTGGGTGGTCTTTAAGATCCCTTCCAACCCAAACCATTCTGTGATTCTCTGCCACGAACTGCTGGGTGTTTATCGCAGTCAGGGGAGCTGCCCCAGTTAGCACCAGCGGAGGGTCCATCCCTGTGCCTTTCTGGCAGGTTGGGCACACTGGTCACTCTGCCACTGTGGGTGTGGGTGTGCTCCAGCGCAATGGGCAGTGGGGGTCTGCACCTCTCAGCCCTGCGAGCTCTGTGGCACCCAGGGAAAGCTACCCCAGGCCAGCGCACAAGGAGCACACAGCTCAGCAGAGCACAGATCTGGCTGGGGAACACAGATGATTTGGAGGCACCAGTGGTGCCCAGGTCACAATTTGGAAACTGCAGCACTTTATCCCCTCCCTGCAGCAAGGTGGGCTCTGCTGGAGAGCTCTCTTGTGCCGTAAACCTGGCCGGGCTGCCTCGCACTTACCTAATGTTGCTTATGGTTCCCATCAGGAGGTTTTCCAAGCACCTTGCCAGTTCCCACCCCAACCTTGTCCCTTCAGCAATACTCTTCCCCCTTGGCTAATCCCGACTCCCCCTCTTTTCTCCGCTGCTTGTGCATTTGCAGATGTAACGGCAGAGGCATCCGCAGCTGCCCAAGCAAGAGCCACGCTTCCCAAGAACAGCAGCCCCATCCAAGAGCAGCCCTGCAGGTCCTGAGGGTAAAAGCCCTCGTGGTCCTCCCCTGAAGGCCACGAGCTTTCTTCCTACTGGTTTCCCCAGGGAATCTGTTTGCTGGGAATCCTGCAGCCCAGGGACTGGAAAATATCAGCAAGTCCCTCCTGTATCTGCTCTCAACACAGAAGCACGAACAATAGAAAATGTCCTGATCAGTCCCTCGTTACCAGAATTTTCTAGCTGGCAGAAAAAAATAATGACAGCGTGTCTCAGATGCTCCCGGCACCTTTGGGCCATGGAGCACCAGGGGAAGAGCATGAGCTGTCGCATCCCAGCAGCAAATCAGATTTTTATACTGTGAAACCAAATTGTGCTCCCAATGGTATTGGTATACATTCAGACAATTTCCACGAAGGTAAAATCAGCTCCTGAGCCGGAGTAAGGAGTCTTAGAGCTTAGGGTTGTGGAAATCCCAGGATGTTTTGTACAAGCCCCTTCTCCGTGCCCGGTAAGCTGGTGAAGCTGTCCGTACTGGGCAGCCAGCACCCTGACGTGATGCGCAGCACCCGCAGAGCAGAGGGTTGCAGGGACCGCAGTCGGGTCCCCCCCCTCCAGCAAACCCCACACCGTCACAGAGAGCAATGACAGCAGACTCGCAAACTCCGCACATGCGGGGAGGAATCTGCCCGACCCCTTCCTGTGACAGCCCAAGCTGAACCAGAAATAAAGATGGATGAAAAGAGGCCGGCTGGGAGAGCGGTGGTTTTTCTCCTGGAAGGGGTTTGCTGTTTGAACAGCGTTTGAACAGAGCGATGCTTGGGATCGTACGGTGGCAGTACCAGGGCTCGCTGCCGAGACTTGCCTTGTGGCTCATGGAGGGAGAGGTGGATCTTGTCTCACCGTTACTCGTGATAGAAACAACAGGGGAGGGGGCAGAGTCACCCTGCAGCCCTGGGGAGAGCTGGCTGTGAACTTCTGGGGCTCCAGAGCTCAGCTTCTTGCTGCCGCCCCAAGCGATGGTTTGGCCTTCACTACCAAAGACCTTTCTGGTACAATATGATGTGAGGGGGAGAGGCTCGGTGGCATGACGGGACATACACCATTGAGGCATGCACACAAACTAGGGACCTTGATTCTAAAACCCTCCTGGCTTTGTGTGGGACGGGTGTCCCATTCAGACCTTTGTTCAGGTGGGAGAAGCACAAGCTCTGCCAGGGAGGCCGTGGGGCTCTGCGGGAGTTGGGGAGGGAAGGCGGGTGGGCCGGGAGGTGCAGAACAGACCCGAATCTCCCACGCACACTCAGCCACAGCAAGGCTGGAAAACGCAGACCTTAGGACTCTTTATTGCCACTTCCTAGGACAGCTATCACCACCAAGCGGTGCGGTTAGGTGGTCAGGGAAGCATCAATGCATGCAGTCACCTGAATTTCATGGAAACGCCTGGCTCTGGGGACAGAGGTGGCCACCAGCAGTTCCTGGACCATACAGCAGTTCTCCATTCGTAGGCACTAGCTGAGCACATGACACAGTACTTAATTTCCCACTCCCTTATGGACTCCAAGCAAACGTGGGGCTCTCCTACTCACCACTGGCTCTCCTTACATGCTGTGTGCAAAGGCAATGTGGGAGTGAAGGAAAGGAAAACCAAAGGAAATCAGCTGGTCCCAAAATGGAACAGAAAGGGAAGTCCAAAAAAAGAGCTGTGCTCCAGGATGCCCTGCACAGTGCCCAGCGCCTTCTTTAAGGCCTCATCCTATGGGTCATCAAGACGTCCATCACGTTCCTCCCCGGGGAGGCAGCAGAAGCGGCAGGTACTGAGCACCACCCCGAGCTCGTTCTTAAATGGAAAGTTTGTCAAATCATCAGCTGAGACATTGTCCGGGTCTGTCCCGGGACAAAAGCTCACTGTCACTGACAACTACGTGACACGAACATAATCCAGAGCAAACATTGCATTTGCAACACTGCTATGCGCAGAATTTCCCTGTCTTCCTTGTACCAAAAAAACCACAAAAACCCCACGTACTTCATTTCAAAGGCATGGGACCGGCACCTGCAGGTATTCCCCATGGGTCTCCAAGGCCCCCAGGTAAGAGCACTGGGAAATTTCCCAAGGGAGCTCTAGGCTGTCCATGGATTGTTTCTGACCCCCTGAGCATCCCCTTTGCACCAAGTTGGTGGGAAGGCAGAAGGTCTCAAAGGTAATCAACCTTCTGATGAGCTCCTTGCGTGTTTGATTAGAGTCATATTTCCACCCAGTCCTCCAGATAAATCCAGGATGTGCGATTACAGCCCTCTCCTCTGGCCCACAGCTTCTTCACGCTCTTGTGTATGGACAGCTTTTATTTCAACATTCCCCAGCCCCCTCCAGTCACCTGCCCTCAAACCAGCTCTGGTGTGTGTTGAGTGCAGTGGTCTCGATGAACTGGCAGAGACAGGGCATGCTGCTGTGCTCCAGGTGCCCCCCCGCCACGGCCCGAGGGAGCCGGCCAGTGACCAGAAGCCGGACGTAGCATCCACTGAAGATCACCAGGAGCTGCTGGGCCATCACCTGGAACGAGCATGAGAGATGTCAAAGCAGAGCATCTACCCGCGGGAAGATTGGATGATACATTAAATACCATTTTCTCCCTCGTTCAAGGGCTGTCCTTGTCTGAAAGAAACAGGACAGGAGCCAATGGCATATATAACTGTCCCAGATCCCCTTCTGGTCAGCAGTGCTGGCACACTGTCCCCACAGGGAAGTGACATGAAATGACCACTCGCCGGTGGGTGGCCAGGGAGTCAGGCTGCTTGGGGACCTGTCTGCTCTGTCACTGCCTCCTGGTGCCTTTTTTTTTTGGCCTGCAGATGGCCAGAGCGCTTCAATCTGTGGGGATGACACCTGCACTGAATTCACTTAGTAACAGCAAGTGGAAAACTGTAAAATAAATCAAAATCATCCCTTTTGAAGCTTCTTGCTGAGC